CCTTGAGCTGAGTTATTTGCCTCACACATTGTACCATTGAGAGTAAGAGTAGGTGATATTCACTACCTACTCTTAGCTATAACCTGAGTGATAGAATTGATATCCAGGTAAGAACTTGAGGGTAGGAATACTAAACTGAGTAAAATTACTTTGTGTGTGTGTGTGTGTGCGTGTGTGTGTGTGTGTGTGTGTGTGTGTGTGTGTGTGTGTAAGATTAGAAAGAGAGGAGGATAGTCTGAAATGGTAAATATGAAACATGTTATGACAGTAAAATTATTTGGGTGAAAGGAGAGCAATTACAGCAAATTGTATTCTCCTGAGCAAAAGAAGCAGTCACATTTCACAGAAAAGTTGCTCCATTGGAGATGTGGGTGAGGGGGCCCTGGTGGCAGTCACCAGCTTGATGATCTAGAAGGACAAATCTAGATCTACCACTTGGCAGCTTTTACTCTAGAGCTGTGCAATATCATAGCCACATGTGGCTAGGTAAGTTAAAGTTAGTTAAGATTAAATATAATTTGAAATTCAGTTCACATGAGCCACATTTCAAGTGAGTTGGACAGCATAGGTGTGGACACTCATCACTGCAGAAAGGTCTGTGGGGCAGTGTGCCTGCACAGTCTGGAAGGATATATGTCTACCTTTAGAGAAGGCAATAGTCAGTTTATTAGAGTCAATGAATTTGTATTTTTTTTGTTCCATAAAATAATGTGTTATCTTGTAAAAAGAACAACTCTGGATATAAGAATGCTCAAAAGGTAGTTAATTTAGTGACTCCGTAGTATCTAAAGTACATGTCTCTTATTTCTCTTCACTCTGCCATTTTCCAAGTTGGGTCCATCCTGGGGCTGTTTCCCTCATGGTTCAACATGGCTGCAGCAGTTCCAGGCAATAGTAAAAGATTCTCTCTCTCTCTTTTAAAAAAATATATTTTATTGATTTTTTTACAGAGAGGAGAAGAGATGTTAAATTTAAATTTGAGTGACAAGCACTTTATTCTTCAGCAGTAAATAGCTGAAAAATAATCCATAAAAATCATTAAATCTCAAGGCCGAAAGAAAACTGGTAGGGAGAGAGCCTGATCCAACCACCCTCAGGTTGAACAAGATAAAAATTCTACAGGCTATGAAGACTGATTCATATTTTAAATGTGATTTAAAATTTGATTATCCCTTTAAAATAAATTTAATGGCAAAATTTATCTGATGTAATTCTTAGGCTAAGAAAGGAATGTTAAGATATCAGCAAAAAAGGAAAAAAAAAAAAAGCAAGTTCCTAATATATTATGAATTCTTCCTGGTAGTGTTATTGAGTGTCAGTTTCAAGAGGAGGATTAAAAATGGTATCAGTATGTCTAATGCTTTAGTTAATGTTCTTCTATGAATGAAAAAAAAAGTGTTTTAGTTCTGACTTTTTCTTTCTGATAACACAATTTCATAGAAGTATTTTTCTTCCTGTTATACCAGAAAAGGGAAAGCATTCGCTACCAAGATTATTTGCATATGCTTCAGATTTGCTCTAGAAAGCCTAATTTTCCATGAAATAATTTTAGAGTCAGTCAGAGGGCTTTAAAGAGTTGAAACCAAATTCCTGGTCAGCGTGGCTACCTAAGGAATGTCACAGACACACTCTGCAGACTCTGTGGTGACCACAGTGACGTTCTTGTGGTTGGCTACGTTTTATTTTTAACGCAGGGTGATTTGAACTCTAATGGAAAGTAGTGGTAATTTCCTAGTTGGGCTTTTTGTAAAGATTAAAACATTACACACTTTATGTGATCTTTTGAAAGACTTTTGTGGAACCATGTGAAGCAAGAATTAACCCCTATTCCATGTGAGCCATTAGGCTTAAACCTATGAAAGAGCATGCGCACATCGGAGGGGCAGGTTGAGGACTGAAACCCCGTATCCAGACTCCCTGGTGGGCTCGTGTTGAGAAGCCTGGAGGCCTGAGGTTTTCCTCACCAGATTATATTTCTTCTTCCTTTGTTTCAGATACAGTGTTTGGATATGGGTTTGATTAGCCACCCCTGTAGAGGTATATGGGCACCTCTTCTTTCAATCATGTTAAGAGGGTGGCCCTTAAGGAGCCATATTAAAATATGCTACATTTAACTTAGTCCCAATATAATTTTTTAAAATATTTTTTTAAATTGATTTTTAGAGATAAAATACTTAACTCCCCATTCTGCCCTACCCCTCCCTCTGGTGACCACTATTTTACTTTCTGTTTCTATGAATTTGACTACTCTAGGTACATTATATAAATGGAATAATAATATTTATCCTTTTATGTCTGGTTTACTTTACTTAGCATTATATTCTCCCATTACATGGCTTGCTTTTTCATTCTATTGATAATGTCTTTTTTAATGTGTTATTTTAATTTTTAAAATAATTCTTTATTGTTGAAAATATTACATATGCCCCATTTCTCCCCCATTCACCCCCATTCATCCATGCTGTAGCGTGTTTCGGAATTTCTCTTTCAAAGCTGAATAATAATCCATTGCATATACTAGCATATAATATATTTTATTTATCCATTGATCTGTTTGTGGACACTTGGTTTATTTCCACATTTTGGCCATTATGAATGTTGTTTTTATGAATTGCATTTTCTCTGCTTTCTATCATTTTTGTTTTGAACCTAGAAGTATAATTATTAGGTCATCTGGTAATTCTAATTTTTTTGAGGAACTGCCATGCTTTTACCCATAGTAGCTGCATTTTACCTTTCAATCTAAAATACACAAGACATTTCATTTTCTCCACATCCATTCCAACATGTGTTATTTCCTGTTTTTGTTCTGTTTTGTTTGTTTTTTAATAAACTTTTTTAATAATAGCTATCCTAATGGGTAGGGAGTTGTGTATCATTATGGTTTTTACTTATTTTTTTTAATGATTAGTGATATTAAGCATCTTTTATGTGCTTATTGGCCATTTTTACACCTTCTTTGGATAAATATTTATTCAAATCTTTTGTCCACCATTCAACTAAGTTGTTTGTTTTTAAGTTATTGAGTTTTAGGAGTTCTTATATATCCTAGATATTAACCCTTTTTTCAGATACATGATTTGAAAAAATTTTTCTCCCATTACATGGCTTGCTTTTTCATTCTATTGATAATGTCTTTTTTAATGTGTTATTTTAATTTTTAAAATAATTCTTTATTGTTGAAAATATTACATATGCCCCATTTCTCCCCCATTCACCCCCACCAGATAATGTCTTTTGATGTACAAAAAATTTTAATTTTGATGAAGCCCATTTTAGCTATTTTTTCTTGTGCAGCAAGTGCCTTTGGTGTCATATGCAAAAAATCATTGTCAAATCCAATGTCATGAATCTTTCCTCATGTATTTTCTTCTAAGTGTTTTATAGTTTTAGCTCTTGTGTATAGGTCTTTGATCCATTTGAGTTAATTTTTGTAATAGTGGTAGTGGAAAGTAAGGGCACACTATTTTTTTTCATGTAGATATCCAGTTTTTCCATTTTCTTGATGTTTTTAAGACTATATACAGTCAGTTTTTAACACTATAGGTAATGACTGGGAGTAAGATGAAGAATGACCCAAGTCATGGTTGAAGCAAAATTGTATTTCTTTATTATCCAGGAATGGATTAACTAGTTTAACCAAAGTAAGTGCAACAGAACCAGGTATAAGCAATCACATCCTCACCTCCCCAGAGTCTACATCTTTAGGCAGCTGTTGAATTTGTGTGCATGGTTAGTTCCTTGATGTGGAGAATGGAGAGGAAAGGAACTAAGCCAACCCTGAAGCTGATTGGGATAAAGAAGAGTAGATTCTGAAAGCTCTGCCTTTAGGTTTTGCCCTTCCTCCGATGGTGTTCCAGAAGCACAACTAGGCTACTCTTTTTAGCATTTTTATGTCAGTAATGAGTGCTATGCAAATGCTGTCTAATTTTTTTTTTTATGTAATCAATTTTTGGTATTGAGGGGTAATCTGTTTTGGCAGAGATAGTAAGAAAAGTTTCATAGTATCTTGACTTTTCAAAGAGTTTCCAAAAACTATAACACAAGTATTGTATACCTATATCGGGAAGAGAAATATCTATTTTTGTGGCAGTTATAAAGATAATGGAATGAAAAAAAAAAAGTAGAGTATGGAAATTGTCAGCAGTTGAGAGACCATGATTCAAGGGGTAAAAATGTGCTGCTCTATCATTTATAAGATGCTTGCTTTGGGCAAGTTGGTTTAACTTTTCCAATCTTTTTTTTTTTTTCCATCTGTACAGTGAGAATAATAATAACCAATGCTATGGGGCTTTGTGAGGTTAAATGAGATGAAATGTGTATGCCAAGTGCTTTGACAAGGCTAGGCCGGCTGGAAGTGCTCAATTAAGGATCTGTGTCTTCCCTGAGAAGAGATAGCAAGACATATTCTAGGAAAATTACAAGTCATAAGTCTATTTGTTTTTATTTTGTTTCTGCCTTTTTCCCCCCTGTTCTTTTTAACTACTTCTCGTTAACCCAGCTGAAGCTTGCTAGTATTTGTGTGTGTTTTTTTTTTTGTTTCCTCTTTCCAAATTTTTTCCATGAAGATTATCTTTATAATAAAATGAATTGATTTTTTTCTTGTACTTATCTACTCAGTTCTTATATTTAAGGACTTTCTCTCCCCCACGTCCCCATTTTTAATTGATTTCAAAAGAGGGAGGGAGAGATAGAAACATCCATAATGAGAGAGAATCATTGATTGGCTGCCTCCTACATGCCCCCTACTGGGGATGGAGCCCACAACCAGGGCATGTGCCCTTGATCGGAATCAAACCCCAGACCCTTCAATCTGGACTCTTCAGTCCGCAGACCAATGCTCTATGCACCGAGTCAACCAGTTAGGGCTTTCTCTCCCTTTTGAAGTGCATATTCATGTGTTCCTTTTGCTGTACTCTTTTCTGCTGATTAACTATTTCATAGTTTTGTTGAGATGTCTCTGAGTCATCCTCTTACCCTCTGTCATTGATCCTTCCCAGTGAGGAGAGGGGATGTCCTGGCAGCGTGGAGCGGTATTCGTCCCCTTGTCACAGATCCTAAGTCTGCAAACACTCAGTCCATCTCCCGGAATCATGTTGTGGATATCAGCGAGAGCGGCCTCATCACAATAGCAGGTATGGGCATCACCTTGTTACTTGGGAAAGCTTTAGAGAGGACCTTGTGTTCAGTGGTCACCCTGGTACCTCTTTGAACTATAATCAACAGGCTTTTTATTTTTTATTTATTTATTTTTTTATGATTCCGAGTAAAGTATAACATCACTCTGCCATATTTTTACCAAGCAATAGGTGGATTTGTTATTAATATGTTGATAACTGATTAAGTATAAAAAATAAGAGTAGTAACCTAATGAATCATTTATTAACTTGTTTATAGGGGGAAAGTGGACAACCTATCGCTCTATGGCAGAAGATACCATAAATGCTGCTGTCAAGGCTCATAATTTGAAAGCAGGTCCAAGTAGAACAGTTGGGCTTTTTCTTCAAGGGGGCAGGGACTGGAGCCCCACACTCTACATCAGGCTTGTCCAGGATTATGGACTTGAAAGTGAGGTGGGTGTGTATTGTTAGATCTTTACCTGCCTACTAGCAATCTCATTATTACCAGCAGCAGAATCAGCAACCGTGTCACCTCCCTTCATTAGAATTTCCTCTTGTGGGGTTCATTTCTGTCTGTGCACTGTGGATGTGAATTAATGGAGAAAAGGGGGGAAAAAAGAAGGGTTTATTTGCTTAAGTGGCCTAAACACACACACACACACACACACACACACACACACACACACACACACACAAAACAAAACAAAATGAACATTTTAGTTTCTCTTTTAAAATCTAGGGTTTGTTTGCTTTGTTCCTAGCAAACAGGACATCCTAAATGCTTTCTGTCGTGAGCATCAGGGGAGCTGTTCTTAGAAGTGATATTGGGAGCAGAACGAAGCTGAAGCTCCATCAGTCACTGATACAGTGATGCATGTGCAGTAGAGTTCATGCTGGCCTAAGCATTTGGGGCCCAAGTGGATTCCTCCCACAAAATCAAAATCTAATACTTTCCTAGAACTATTAGTTACAGGCTGTAGAGAGCTGACAAGATAAGCTTGTAGTTTTGTTTTGTTTTGTTTTGTTTTGTTTTGTTTTGTTTTGTTTTTTGCTTTGTACCTGCAAGTATTGATATTCAAAGTCTTAATGCAGTTTTGCTTCCCTAGGTGGCACAGCATCTTGCCTCCACCTATGGGGACAAGGCCTTTGAGGTGGCCAAAATGGCAAGTGTGACTGGAAAGAGGTGGCCCATTGTTGGAGTGCGGCTGGTGTCAGAATTTCCATACATTGAAGCAGAGGTACGTGAATGGCCATTTGGGAATCGGCATGGGGTGCCATTCATCTGTTTGTATTTCATCTTTTTAAAAAAATTAAGTATGGCTAAATTTTAATGCACATATGTGAGCTAAAACCTGGAGTAAAGTGTCTGCTCAATCTAGATATTTTTCATTTATATATATTTTTATTTTAACTCTAAATTGGTATTGATAATGGTAACCATGATAATAGAAAATAGAGGATTTCTTTCTCCTCCAAGAGTTATCCTATCTTGTTAATTCATAGTTGTTTGCCTTTTTGTGAATTTGCAACTTTGTACCAATCCTGTGCTACCTGATGACATATCTTGATTTAACATTTAACTTCTCAAAGATTTATGCTTTGTTTCTCATCAAGGTTTCACATTTTATGAAAAAGAGACCATGCTTTATATTTACTTATAATTCACTTCACATTAAAACCTGGGTATCCAGTAAGTATTTTGGTTACTCAGAGACTGAAATCTTGTGACAGCTTCAAGAGATGAGACCATATCTTCTTCTTCTTTTTTTTTTTTTTTTTTTTTTTTTAAATATATCTTATTGATTTTTTACAGAGAGGAAGAGAGAGGGATAGAGAGTTAGAAACATCGATGAGAGAGAAAAATTGACCAGCTGCCTCTTGCACACTCCCTATTGGGATGTGCCCGCAACCAAGGTACATGCTCTTGACCGGAATGGAACCTGGGACCTTTCAGTCTGCAGCTAATGCTCTATCCACTGAGCCAAACTGGTTTTGGCGAGACCATATCTTTTTGATACTTGTTCTTTGCCTATTCAGCTATGTAAATTAGCATCCATACTATGTATAAACAAAGAGGTACTCCATTCCTGTGGCCAGTAAATGAGAGTGAGGCAGTTTGCATGTTTGTGGCAGGTTTTATTCAGAAATAAGGCATTAACTCTTGACCAATTTGTTCCAGTTTCCAAAACTTCTTTGGCAGGCTGATGGGCAACTTGTATGACGTCACTATTTGTCCCATGCCTGCCATAGAACCAGAGTGTGTAAAGAAAAATGTCACATTTCCTAAGCATGATTGTTTCCAATAAAGTTTTATTTCCTCTTTGAAAAAACAAACCTAAACTACTAATTACTTTAATTCAAAATCAGGTGAAGTACGGGATTAAGGAGTATGCCTGCACCGCAGTGGATATGATTTCACGTCGCACTCGCCTGGCTTTTCTAAATGTTCAGGCAGCAGAGGAAGCACTACCCAGGATTGTTGAGCTGATGGGCAGAGAACTGAATTGGAATGAGTCTAAAAAACAGGTATTCATAGAAGTCTTAAAAATTATAGTAACCATTATAAACATGTAATGTTGTGATCTGTTAGTAGAGGCTAGTATAGTTTTTGTGGTGACTTTAGATTTCTTACCAGTTCCTGTGAGTGTGAGTGTGTGTGTGTGTGTGTGTGTGTGTGTGTGTGTGTGAGAGAGAGAGAGAGAGAGAGAGAGAGAGAGAGAGAGAGAGTATGTGTGTGTTTTATATTGCCAAATCTTAGGAAACTGGAAAGATGTTCTTGTACCAAAATGTGTTGGTTGTTTCTGGAAAAACCCTTGTAGAAAAATGCTATCAAATTCATGGTCATAATTCCTGAAAAAAAATAACATAATGATTGTGGGTAGACCTTTTTCTGGTTTTCACTGGAAACACTCTTAGAATGTAATCTACAGTGAAATTTATACTCCTACGAATTTGCCTTTGGTAGAAACCTCATTGCCAGCAGTTTTACTGCTTGACCATTAAGTGCATATTGATATGTATCATTTGAAATTTTGTATTTACACCCAAATTAGAAAAAGAAAGCCAGTGATACTCAGATGCCCACAGATACAGCCCTGGGCTTATTATAATAAGAAGATCTTCATTTTTTTTTAACCAAATTATTATGATATGCAAAGTCACTTTCATGTACTCATTCAAAAAGTACTTTGTATCCTCACTAGTTTACTTCTTTCCCTCCTAGTCTTTCTTGGACCTATTTCATTTAGACAATTTTGTTGCCACTTTGTTGTAGTAACTCTAGTCATACTCACCAGTAACCTCTAGCTTGCTCAAAATACTTGTTAAGGTTCCATCTTCCTTTTACTCAACTAAGTAGTGGCATTTACACACTTGATTCCCCCTTGAGTTACTATTTGGAACACCACCTATCTTAGTTTACTGAGGCTGAGATAATAGAATGCTGGTACTACAGACTGGGTGGCTTCAACAACAGGCATTTATTTCTCTCAAGTCTGTAGGCTAGAACTGTGAGATCAGGGTACTAGCATGTTTGCATTCTGGTAAGAACCCTCTTCCTGGCTTTCAAACAGCTGCCTTCTTGATGTGTCCTCACATGGAGGAGAGAAAGAGGGAGAGGGGGAGCCTACTCTCCAGATGCATACAAACCTAATTATCTCGCAAAAAGCTCCACCTCCGAATACCATCACATTGAGCGTTAGGGCTTCAGCGTATGGATTTGGTTGATTAAGCCTAAAGAATGATATCATAACCTGATCTAAATCCATTAGCAAATCTCATCATATTTATCTTCAAATCATGGCTTGAACTAAACTATTCATTCATTTATTCATTCATTTATTTTGATCTTTATTGTTGAAAGTATTACATTATGCCCCCCCCCCTTTTTTTCCCCTCTGTTGACCACATCTAGCCTATTCCTGTAGACCCTTTCTTAAACATATGTAACTGCTCACCCTGATTCAGCATCTTTTACATGGATTGTTGTAATTGTTTCCCTCCCCTAAACCAAGGTCCCTGCTTTAACAACTTCAGTGATTCTGTTAAAACATAAGCCAGATCATTGGATATGTCAGTCTGAAGTTCAGAGGGAACAGTTGAGTTGGTATATTAGCCATCAGACTGAATGAGCTCCAGGGAGTTCATGTAGTCCAAAGACTGAGCCCAAGGCACTCCATAATTTAGAAGCTGGAGAGAAAAGGAAGAATCTGGGAGAGAAAAAGGAAGTTATAGCTGGTGAGTTTGGAGAAAGTGTGAGAAGCCTCAGGAGAGAGCTGTGACCAGAAGGGAAGGAAGTATTTTAAGAAGAGGGAAGGAATCTGTTGTATCAAATGCCACTGATGAGTTTAGTAAGATGAGGACTGACAATTAGCAATTCATTTGATAAAACTTCTTTCTTTTACTCACAGTAAAGCCAAAGTCCTGACAGTGGTTTACAAGATCTTTGTGATCTGGCCTCCACCTTTCTGATCCCTGTCTTCCTTTCCATTATTCACTCCCTTCAACCCTCAGGTCAGGTTGCTTTTCTTCATTCATATTCTGCTGATGCCTCTGCTTGGCCTCCTCCCTCACTTCCTACTGGTCTCTACTCCAGAAACCTTCCTTAACTGGGCAAAATAAAAGAGCTCCTCCCATTTGAATGATGTTTTCTAGTCCATTTCCTACTTTATTTTTCTCTTGAGCATCTGTTCCCATTTGACACAGGATGTATTTAGTAGTTTATTTGTTGTCTACCTTTCTTCCAGGAAATAAGCTCCCAAAGAAGAAGACATAATCTGTTTTGTTTCTGTACACTCAGGGTCCAGCATATATAGGGGCCCTAAATAAATGTGTATTGAACCAGTGAGTGAACATTATTGAGCATCTGTGTAAGGAAGGATTGGGCAGATTCTGTCCTTGCATTTTTCTCATTCTGGCATAGATTCCCAAAGATGGTTACATATCAGTCACCTGGGAATGTAGGGCAAAGGGCAGAGTTCGAGGGTTGTCTTTAGACCATCAGAGTCAGAGTCTTCAGGGGTGAAACTATGGCCCTTCTTTTAAAATTTCTCTTGTAATTTGAATGCATTGTATGTAGTATGCTTCTGGTGGAATTCACCAGTTGAAGGAGCTCCTTAAATCTGACCACAACTCTATGAGGCATAAATAAACCTTTACCCCCATTTTATAGTTGAGGAAATAGGCTTAGGGAGTAAGTCCTGGTCAGAGTTCATACAACAGTAGTAAGTTGTGCAACTGGGATTGAAAGCAGTATTCTGATCCCAGAACATAAGCTTTTCCCACCTGCCCTGTTGCCTCTGCTTTGGTGGGACTGGTTTATAGCTCTTCCTGCTTGGAGTTTTGATTTGATCAATTAAAGCTATATATGGAGGCAACACAGAATGAAACTCACTCCTGTGCTACTGCCAATCATTTTTAGCATATAGAAGGACTGAGGATAATGTGTTCCTGTAAAAGTTATGGTTGGAATGATTTGAATATGCAGGAAGATATTTTGTGCCAGGAATTCAGGCTGTAGGAGGTAGGAAGGAGGAAGAAATTTCTGTAAACTGGTGTGTTCGGCCCTCCCGAGGAAACTAGATTTAACTTCAGTTCAAATTTTATGAGCAGATTTATGTACTCAGGAATATTCTCCCATCCCCCTCAACAAAGAAACAGAAATAAAAGATCTAAAGTTATTACTCAGTATCCGAGACATTGGAGTGTTAATGAGGTCTGTGGATAGTCTGGAGAGAACAAAGGAGAAGGGAAAAAAAGAATTAAAGGTTAGGAAGCTGGACTTCTGAGAAAAGGTTAAAAGCATTGGGATTATTTAACCTGCAAAAGTGAAAGAGGAACAAGGTGATAAATAACCCTCCATAGATGAATTGTGCTTGTTTTTACCAGTCAATACTTAATGAGTGACTTGTATGCTGAGCATTACACCAAATATTTTAGGGGAATAATAAATAGCTCATAGTTTCAAGGACGTTGAAATCCAATTGAGTAGTTATAACACGTGTGTACCTCAGAAATGTGTTTTCCAAAATGTAGGGAAATATTTAGAGAACTATCATTCAAGACTTAATTCAACCAACTTGGAAGAACCAGTTAGGGAAAAAAAGCATTATCTAAGGGCAGTGGGAATCGAGAGATTAGTTGCTGGGCATATTTAAAAAATAGAACACTGCCAAATTGTGTCCCACAGGGTATAAATAATATAAGTCAAAAGATGATTACATGGTCAAAGGAGTGGAAAATTATGAGTTAAACAAGTGAAATCATTTTCTTCAATGTAGATGATTTGGTGCCTTTAAAATGCTTATGTGCACTGCCAGTCTTTAAAAAGGTACTTGCTCAGAGACAGACTCAACTCTCACGTTTTGGAAGGGCTGGGGGAAAGGAGCCTAGGAAGTATTTTAGGAAATGCCCCCATAGGATTTGGTAAGAAGGTTTTATAACTTTCAGACAAAGCATGCCTTTTCTTGAGAGACTTTACAGAGAAGACCACTTAAATAGGTTGAGGAGTCTCACACACACACAAAAAAAAATTCTTTCAAATTTGATTTCAGTGGGGAAGAAGCTGGTGAAGAAATGAAGTGACGAAAAAAGCAAAATGAGAAGCAGCAAATTTAAAACATATGGAAGATAAGTGCTCAGGAATGAAAGGGTATTTAGGAATGATATGGATGCATATAAATAGTGTCAGGGATTGGCTGTTGGGGGAAAAAATGCTAAGAACAAAAAAATACACAAAAAACTCTCACAAGAAACAACTTTTACAAATGGAAAAGAATGTTTGATGAGACTGGCGCCATATTCTTCAATGCTGGAGAAAAGGGAGAACTTTTCAACTTACAGTTTAATACCAAATTGTTTTTCTTTTTTTCCTTTTTGGTCAAGGAGAATGATTTTCAGTGTGAAAAGAGAAAAATAAATATTGGTAAGAGGAAATAGATATTTAAATAGAAGGTTGCTCTAAATGAGTTTGTATGCCAACCCAGAAAGATTATACTTCAGGCCTCTCACAGAATTTGCAGATGGAATTTATTTAACCACTGTTGAGATTTCAAATATTGTGGCAAATAGAAACAGAACCAGAAGACAAAAGATGGGCAAATGTAGCACCAAATTCCAAAAAGGAAGAAGAGAGAAAAATATAGTTTGTAGCTTATAAACTGGTGATCTTAGCATTAATCTTGGAAAGTTTTCTAGATTATGGCATTTTAAGTTTATTTTATTGATTTAACAAGAAGTGTAGTGATCATTGGAAGCTAGTAAGGAATTATTTAGGAAAAAATAATTTCAGATATCTCATTTTCTTTTCATAAAGATTAGCAAGATTGCTAGATGAAGGAAATGATGTATTTGAATTTCTTAAAGCGTTCTGCAAAGCCCCATGTAATATCTTTGTAATCAAATGATCACTGTTTGTCTCAAGAGGTCTTTGAGGATTCCGTCCTTGGTTTGACTTAGTCTACTTTGCTTGAAGTGCTGAGATTACAATGTTGATGGCATGCATCTTTGGCACATCAGTAGTAACTGGAGGGAGAGTGAATGTTTAATGACAAATGGAAGCAATGGGTGAAATTTCTTTAAGTATAATTAGAGATAAATGGCAAACCTTGCAATACATAGAAACATGACTCCATTTGTTCATGATAGATTTGACAAGGCTTACCAGTAACACATGCAAAAATGAAATGTGGTTTCTGTTGTCTGTGAATGCATAGCAGTTAATAATAAATCATGGCTGCCCCCAAATGCAATTTTAATCCTAAACTACATTAATAGGAATCTTATCTCTGGATTGATGAAGCTAGTAGTTACTCCTTCCTAGATGCTTGCTAATCCCAAGCAAATTGGAGCAATTACAAAGAGATGGGTTTAATCTCAACATAAAACTTTTCAGCAGTTGGAGCCGTCCATTGCTTCCATTTGTCATTAAACATTCACTCTCCCTCCAGTTACTATTATATGGGCTACTTTCAGTGGCATTGAGTTATCACCGTATTGTGAGAATTTTTTAGATGGAGAACTCCTGCTTCCTTTTTTGGGATGTTGTAAAGAAAATGTGAAGCTAGGGAGATGCATTGGGTGGATTCCAGGGGAAAATCTCTTCCAACTTTGAAATTCCATGATTCCTTGCTTGATGGTGTATGAATAAGTCACATGGGCAAGGAAGGGAAATGAATTAAAGAGCTTGTTCTTGGAGGAAAGCATCAGAGAAACTATTTCCAGGGAAATGATTCTTGAATGAGTTTTATGGAATGTGACCTGGAAAAATCGGTGCAGTGGAGATATGTTGTTTTTATTATAACTGGTGGATTTTCTTGTCTGAAGAGAGTAATCTGTCAGTGAAGAATGCCTTTTGTAACTTCACAGACAAGTCCTATATATACTTATATGTCATGTGTGTGTGTGATATCAGATAGATCATATATGGTATATTTTGAAAATATATAGTATATATTAGCTGAGAATATTTTAGCATTTCTAATTTTATATATACTATATTTTGTCTTTTCAATAATATATAATATGTATTTGTTTTATTTATATGTTTATATTAAATATGTGTTTATATTATATAATATTTCTCCTGAGAGAAAATAAAATAGGAAGGGAATAATCTCAGAAAAATAAGTTTGTCTTCGCTTCTCCAAGAAAAGGCATTGTCATCTGCATAAGATCCTTTGATGGGAAGTCTGGGGGAATCTAAGACTTGCATTAGTGAGCTTTCTCTAGATTGTGCTCTATAACAAACAACTGCAAAATCTTATTAGCTGTCAATGACAAGCATTTACTTTTCACTCGTATTATTATACATGAAGCCTGCATGTTAGCTGCTCTCGCTCTTTTTTATATGCCAGATTATCTCCAGGTGTCTCTGATTTGTTCCCTTGTCATGGCAGAGAAACCAGAGAGGCAAAGTTGTGCAGATGCTTTTAAGTTTTTACTCAAAGTAGCCTAAGTCATACCTATTCATGTTCTGTTGGCCAAAGTTAATCATCTGTCCAAGCTCACATCAATGGGCTGAAAAGTACACATAAGGGGAGGGAGTTTGGTGTGTATATATATATATATATATATACACACCAAACTCCCTCCCCTTAAAATGGAGGAAAGAAGATATTTGTGGACAATATACAGTACAATAGAGTCATTTTGAAAGTTCCTTGATGAGAGACAGACATGATGAAAACTAATAATGGCTGCCTGGCCAGTATGGCTCAGTGGTTGAGCATGAACCTACGAACCAAGAGATGATGGTTCAATTCCCAGTCAGGGCACAGGCCTATGTTGCAGGCTCGATCCCCAGTAAGAGGCATGCGGGAAGCAGCCAGTCAATGATTCTCTCTTAATCATTGATATTTCTATCTCTCTTTTTTCCATTCTCTCTGAAATCAATTGTGTGTATGTTTGTGTGATTTTGTTCTTTTTAAAGAATGACAATGTTCTCAGCAATAATATCAATTGGGTTCAGAACATTTGAGAACACAGGTAGAGCTAGTCAGGATAGCTTTTTTCTTCTCATTACTCAGTAACTCCTACCCAATTATCAGAATCCTAGTGACAGAATTTCAGAATAGCTAATCTCATGTTGTCTGTCTGGGTATACTGCACACCACATTACAAGTAGTTGTTTAAATCCTATATACCTTCTTCACTTCTATTTTTTTTTTTTAACCAAAACCATAAAATTTGGTCCTATAGATTTTGCTAGTGGAAGAGTATTCTGCATTAAAAGGAAACAAAGTAATAAAACATGCAACAACATGAATGAATCTTAGAATCATTATCCTGTAGAAGCAATAAATGCAAAGGACTACCTGCTATATGAGTCCTTTTATGCACTAGAGGCCTGGTGCACGAAATTTGTGTATGGGTAGGGTCCCTAGGCCTGGCTGCCAATCAGGGCTGATTGGAGCCTTCTTTCCCTCAGGTGCTGGCTGCAGGCTGTTGGCTGGGGCCTTCTTTAATCTGTGCATATTAGCGCATGTCATAGTGAACAGTTGAACTCCTGGTCGGTCGAACTCTGGAGGAGACAATTTGCATATTAGCCTTTTATTATATATAGGATTCTAGAAAAGGCAAAACCTGTGACAAAAAAACAAACAGATCAGTGGTTGCCTGGGGAAGAGATGAGCTGCAAATAGGCAGAAGGAAGCTTTTTAGGGTGATAGAAGTGTTCTATATCCTGATCATGGTAGAGTATACATCAAACTACGTACCTGAAATAGGTGGATTTTGTTGAATATAAATTATACTTCAATAAGTCTGGAAGAAATAAAAAATGTGCTGGTCAGGTAAGTGAGGATGAGCTAGCTTCTTTTTAGAATACCTAAAGGAAAAAAAAAATCAATACATTTTACAATAAATCTTTGAAATTTGTGTGTGTGTGTATGTGTTTTAGGAAGAACTTGAAACAGCTAAGAAGTTTCTGTATTACGAAATGGGTTATAAATCTCGATCAGAACAGTTAACAGATAACTCTGAAATTAGCCTGCTGCCTTCAGACATTGACAGGTACTTCTAATAAGTTTCTTTCTACCTCCCTTCTCCCCCCCCCCCCCCTTTTTTTTTTTTTAAACCTACATAAGTATATTATTCCATTATTCAACATTGTATTCCAGGTACAAGAAGAGATTTCATAAGTTTGATACAGACCAAAAGGGCTTTATTACCACTGTTGATGTTCAGCGTGCATTAGAGGTAATTTTTTTTTTTTTCACTCAATATCTTGGAGAGCAAAAGAATGCAAAGATTATATTATATATTTTTTCCCTATCTAGGTATTTCTATGGGTAATATTTCTCTTTTAATTTTTGAAAAGTCGGTAACATTATTAAAAGGATTTGCATAATTTTTAGTTAATCTTTATTTTGTGGTTTAATATAGAGTATCAATATCCAAATGGATGAAAACACACTACATGAAATCCTGAATGAAGTAGATTTGAACAAAAATGGACAAGTTGAACTTAATGAATTTTTACAGGTGAGTTGTACTGAAAGGAAACAAATGTATTTGTGGTGGCTTTTTTTTTTTTTTTTTTTTTTTTTAATGTTTTGGTTGTTAATGGTTGCTCCAGAATAGAGTTTGTTGGCCACACAGTTGTCACTTCATTCTGAGAAGAAGAGAGCTTGAAGCCAGCAAAGGTTGATATGTCTTGTCTGCCTTCAAGGATGCATGTTCCACATTCTTTTTCCTTTTTATAAGACACATTCTGTTATTTCGGGCAATTTAGATTAAATTTAAATTAATTATGGCTTAATAGGGGGTGAATAAGAAGTATGCTTTTTAAAGAAGTATGTCATGGAATACCACTGCCAGACCATTCTTTGCCTGCTTCAAGTAGCTAGTAACACAACATTTCTCATGTGGAAAGTAATTTTTTAAGGAAAAGTTTTAAAAATCATTGTTGCATTCATCTCAGAATCATATTCACTTGAGATCCTGAGATGTAATTATTATATTCTTACATTATAAAGAACCTGAAAAACAAAAGAAAGGGAACATGCATACTGGGGTCAAGACCATATAATTCAAGCATTTCTATTTTTACTTACTCGCGGCTCAATTCTTTAATCGTAACCAAGAAGGGAATACATTTTGTTACTTTAACTTCAAACTGAATGCTGCGCATCATTCCTTAAAAGAGAGAAATTAGAACAAACCCATACATTATTGTGGCTGTCCATTGGACTCCGATAATATGAAGTATGCGTTGGTTTCCAAGCAGCCAGGTTTTTTTTCTGCAGTTCTTCTTGGGCAGGTATTTCAAATGAATGCCAAGTCTTGCTTGCACCATGGCAATGATGAATGCTGAACATGAAATAAATTAATGCTGGGGATTTTGGTCAATGTCAGCCCTTTCTTCACTGTGTCAAGTTAAACAAACAAGATCAAGGCAAAGGAAATGGTAATTGTCTCTCTGGAGATGAGCTGCAGATAAGAGCATTGTTGAATCTAAATGCAGAAAATTTTCACAGGTTGTGTCCAGCATTACAAAAAAGGATGTTTAGTTCTCTAGCTTACCGGTTACCTAAGTTCACATTTTGAATTGAGGTTAAAATTTGCGCTTGGCTATTAGAAATCATTTAATACATTTTTTGCCTCGTTTGTTTTTAGAATATTTTATGGGTTGTCTCAGTATTTTAGAAAACTTTAAAGAAATAGTTTATATTTCATTTCATGTGTTGTAAATAAGCAATAGTGCTTAAGGTTGGAAGACAAGGGTTTTAGAAGCAATAAGAATCTTAATTTTATGGATATTCTCTCTGGTTTGAGTTTTGAGTAATTTTTTGAATGCAGTAGAGTTAAACACATACAAAGTAATTTAAACCATCTGTGGGTTTTCTTGCACAGTTTTAAAAAATTGAGCATTTCTTTTTTTTTTTTTTTTTGTCCAATTCTTAATGAAAGAGAATTCATGGCTCTACTAAGTACAAATAGAGTCTAATTTTCAACTTGAAAAATGCTGATCATATTTCTCATGAAATATACTCACACCCAAATGTTTGTTTTTCCCCTCCTTATAATATGGTTTCAAGATACATGTAATGTTTAAAAGAAACTTTGAATTTTTAAAAGATGGTACATCATATAATGTTTATGGATAAATAAAAAGCTCCAGTCAGTTCTATCAGATTTGTTAGCTCTGATAAACTTTGAAGGTCTTCATGCACCCAGAGACAAAACAATAGACAATAAATTGTTCTGTGTTTAGATGTCAGCATTCTTTATGTTACATCATTTGTCATATGTAAAGTATGTTGTCAGGGTTAGTTTTTTTTTTTTTTTTTAATACAATTTTTCCCCCCTCGGGAATGAGTCCATGTTTATCTCATTAAACACCCTTGACGGTATAGATTTGGTCTCTCAATAATCCCCACTGGAAGGATCACTACAGGGAGCACGTGGTTGCTTGACTTTATTTTTAGGTTTGGGCTCTAATGTCACTTGTGCATGTAGGAGTCAATCTCTAATAGGCAATAGCTTGTGAAGCAGCTTTTAATAAGGTCAGGAAATTCTGATCCTGCACCTTGGCACATGCCTCTGACTCTTCTTCAGAGCCATTTAAAGAAATATAGCTCTGTAAGCTAAAGACTATAACCCTAAAAATATTCGAGTGAATGGCTGACTCAGTTCTCTTTTAAATAAATAAATAAATAAATAAATAAATAAATAAATAAATAAACAAACAAATAAATAAATAAATAAAAGATTGAGGAAGTGGTACTAGGAAAAGCAAGTAGTTAAAATCACATAAACTTGAAAAAGAAAAGGGGGGAAAAAAAAATCCCCACCCTCATGATGGTGAAGTGCCTTCAAGATTAAAGGCCTTTGCCCACTGACTGCATATAATTTCAAGACTAATTCTGATTTTATCCATTGGATAAAAATGAATTAGCTAAATTTATCTGGGCTGCTTTTAATTCTTCAGGTAGATCTCTGGGTCCATTTTCAAGTAGTTAAATGTAAATTACTTTATCAAGTCTTTAAGAATTTGGATTTAGGGGAATTGAAGCTGTAAGTACAGTAGCATTGAAAAAAAGAGTAGTTAAATATAGACCATGGTTTGTCTTTGTTCAATCCCTGAGATTCGTTTTTTAAGATTTTAAAATGGAACTCAAGATCCAATATTTGAGTTGCTCAAAAGAAATATGAGCCCCGAACACATTAAAGGCCAAAAAAAAAAAAAAAAAGACATATTCTATTTGCATTAAAAGGCAGGTGATTTTGCTAGATGAGTTTAGTTTTTACAGCAGTGATAAAATACCTGCCCATGTCCCCATTTCTGAAATATTCAAAAATTGTCCTCTTTCGATGTGAGCTGGAGGATCCGGGATGGCTTTTGATGGAGCTCTTAATGACCTCTGCCTACAGCAAAGGCGACCATGCAGCAGGGAGTGAGCGGTCTGCCTTCTGAATCCGTTGCATGTTTTCTCTTTAAGCTGATGAGTGCTATTCAGAAAGGAAGGGTGTCCGGAAGCCGGCTGGCGATCCTGCTGAAAACGGCAGAGGAGAACCTGGAAAGAAGGGTCCCCATTCCGGTGGACAGAAGTTGTGGAGGATTGTGAGTGTGAGCGGTGACTCCTCGGCCAACACACACAGGAACAACAGATCATCGTGTAACAACAGTTACGAAAGACAACACTCCAAAATAGCGGAGATGGATAGCTGCTTAAAAAAAAAAAAAAACACTGGGAAACATTCCAAGGCTTTAGGATGTTGCTGTAAACCCCTTCTTTGTATTTGCCACTCACTCTAGCTTCTAAAACGTGTATTTTATCCCCTTTCCTCATTTTTGATGCACCCTGCCTTAATGTTTTGTACCCATTTTGTGATCGATTAGACTGGACATGCTCTCTTTTTGTGTATGTGTTCATTTATTCTAATTCAACTCTAGAGGCAGAATGCTTTGGCTGAGACCGAAAGACGCTGGAAGAATTTTGTAACATACGCAAAGCTTGATGTTAAGCTTATAGGTCATGTTTGTTTTTAAAAGAAATGGCGTGAGCTTGGCCTATTAAGAGAAGACCTCTCAGCCATTCCTTCTTCCAGCTTGTCTGTCTTCCCTCTTCAAACTGTCACACAATTTTCTATGCAGAGCCTGAGTGGCAAAGCTGGAGAGGGAAGGGAACATTTAGATCTGGTTACAGGAGCAAGTCTGAGAGAGAAACTCCGAGAGCTTCCAGAATCACAGGTATAAGATAAGGATAGCATTGACATTTCTGGGAGTTACAGTGATAGTTTCATCTCAGCAATTCGTTGTGGGTCTCCCCCCCCCCACCCCCCCCACCCCGCCCCCTCAGTCATTGCTGGATTTTCTTTGACTATTATAGTTGCCAGGAAGATTCTTGCTTTTTTAACTTTCAAAACCGGCATTTCAGTGGCAAGTTCGATGTAATGGGATGAGACTGAATTTCTCAAATCTATACAGGAGTAATTAATACAATTAAAGGTTAAAACCCTGTGTTTATTAAAGATCCGCATATGAGAGCACAATTTTTAATCCCCACATCCTAAATGTTAGAGCGTGTGACATTGCCAGACATGCACAGTTTTGCTTGGTTTACTTCATCCGTTGGGAGGAGTATTTGTAAACAGACGGCAAAACGAGGATGGAAATAGCTCTTCGGTAACTTTATAATCATTTGTAAAAAGGCACAACACTCAAGGTCCTTTTGGTTAGCAAAAGCCTCTCTCATTCTGTACTTAGTGGAAAAGTTCTCAACCAACCAAAAAGAAAAAGAAAAATATAAAACCACACAAACATACACTCACACACATCCCCCCAGCACAGATACACACACAGAGAGACACAAAGACAAACAAAAATCCAATCTGCATTGCATTTCACAAATAATGAATTGAATTGAAAGGGCTATTTTGGTAGGCTTTTGCAATATTTTGTTGGCATTTTAGCCAGTCACCTGAATATTTATTTTTTGTGCTTCCTCTTGTGAAGTTAACTACCTATTTTTTGTGTCTCCAGATCAGGTTGTGTATGTGAAATCTGACCCTTTATTTAATGTCAGGTTTTCACTACACACACTTAAAGTCTTAGTTTTTTAAACTGGTACATGAAACGCTTTTGCGCAGTTATTTCTGTTTATGCCAATATTATAGACTATCTTCATGCATCTTTTGAGTGGGGTCTGAGCCAGGATGTCATAGTGTAAACACTGAAATTCACTCACTTAAGCACCCATCCTCACGTCTGAAAGAGTGAAGGTAGCATCTTAACTCCTTTTATTTTTAAAGGATGTTTTAGACTTGCCACTTCGAAAGGAAAACCTAAAACAGAGCAAGGGATGCTCCGAGGTACCACTGTGAAGTTTTTCTTTCAAAACTGGTGTGATTTTTTTTTTTTAATATACTGGCAATTTATTTTTTTAAATACCAGAAGCTTGTGGCTTTGTAACTTAGTATTTTACTATCAAGACAATACATTTCACTGTTTGGAATCCAGTGACACTGGACAGAAGAGCTGTCCTTTAAAACATTACGGTGATGTACCTCAATATTGTACACTTGTGCCCTCTGTCTTTCTCTTTTTCTAGTTAGAGGCGATGAGGATGACTTGTATCCTCCCTGAATCCATTACAGCAGGGACCCGGCTTCAGACCTGCCCAGCCCAGGCAGGGCTGTGTCTGTAACACACGCCTTGTTAGTGCACACTTTGCTAGGAGTGAAGTTCCTTTAAGGACAAAGAAAAGCACACTTTTCTTCTTTTGAGCATATTTGCTTTTGCTTAAAAACCTGCTAATTCTAAAACATACGCTCCTTCATCGATCCCAGAGACTCCTCTTGGAAACGAGCTGGTTCTAAGCCTTGACTGTGAATAAAGCACCCCCACGTTGTGGTGTAAGTTCTTAATTAAACCTGTGCAGCTTCTTCATCTGATTGCAGAAACGAAGCAAGAAATAGGGGGATAAGCCCCTGCAAAACCTACTCCAAGTGCAAAAGAATTTTTTGCCTTTTTATATAAATGTGATGTAGATGATACTGTGTGTGTGGGGGGGGGGGGCGGTTGGGGAGTGCATAGATTGTCTTTTACCAATCAAGCGATTTCTTTCAAGAGCCTTTAAGGAGATTCAGGTGAAGGAAATCTCATCTGTGGTGGAGACCTGGATGCCCCTCCTTTAAACAGCTCGACCGCAGTCCTACAGGAGTGATCCTGCTGGATTATTTGTTAAGCCAGGGCTGCCTGCCTCCTCTCCATCATGCTGTTTGCAGAAATTCTTGCTTTTAATCAGTTTATACGGAGTGTAACTTTAGGGTTTCTACAATTCAATGCATGCTCCCTATGATGCTTTAGTTTCTAAGCTTCGTTTTGTCTTTTTTCAAATTATGTAGATTTCTCTTTTGTACAATGAAAATTGCACTCTGACTTTCACTAAACATACTGTCAGAACGATCATTGATCTTAATCCCTTTTGTATGTCTTTGTATTTTGGCCTATGAATGTAATCATATGATGTCAGTGACACTATAACTTGCAAAAGCCCTACTGTGTTTTTAAAGAAGATCAAGTATAAGCCCAGGACTGAAGTAGAGATACATACTGCATGTTTTCATGGCTCTTTTATGTATCGTGTTGGGTTATTGTTCTAGATTGGACTGTTAAATACTGTGTTTGAGGCTGGGTTGTCATTTTTATAACTGTCTTGGTGTTTTACCGCCATTATTTATTACTTTTGATATACAGAATGAGCTGCATGCATTTATAGAGCAATAAGAGGATGTATTTAATGTGCCTTGTTTTTAACGGAATCAGAACTGAAAGCATGAATCAATAAAACTGATTAAAATGGTCCATTTGCTGGCATTTTGATGTTACTTGCAGTCAGAGAAATAACTTTGATTACTATTGAAGTTTTTTTTTTGTTTTTTTTTTTAAAGTTTGAAAATATGTTTACAAACTATGTTTTATCATGGCACTTACACATTAATTCTTTTAGCTTGAAATTTCACCATTTGATCTCAAAAGTAAATCTCTGCATAGACAGATGTAATTTTTTGAGGCTGCCAGGATTATTCATATTAATTTGTTGCTGCCGCCTGTAGGGCATGATTTCTGGATTTGTGCAATCCTATTCTAAAATTACATTCATCCTATTACAACTAACAGCTGAATTCTTTTTTTTTTTTTTTTTTTTGTCTCCAAGAGCCTTTCAGCCTGAGGGTTCCCAGGCACACTGATGAATTTTATCATAACTAAAATCAATAGAAATGAATGGGAAAGATTACATAATCCATTTTGATCATCTCACATGTCAAGTTAGTACAGGGTTGCCAAGTGTTGATAAATGCTCTGACAGAAAAAATGCTATATATTTTCATTGTCGGTAAATCAGTAAAGCTGTTATCAGTTTTAACACAAGTTTTACAATGCCCATGTTATTTTATGGGTTTTAATTTACACACGTATGTGGAGCAGGCCACATGCTCCATTTGTGGTTTAGATGCACTGCCCCCTGGTTTTTGGTGCTCAAAGCATGTGTGAGCTTCTGAAGTTTCTTTGGAATTGCGCCCCCCCTCCCCTCCCCACCCCCGAAGGCAGATTGGTAACAATGAACTGTTTGTTCGGTGCCTGGAAAAAAATATATGGCAGCTTGAAACATTGTTCATTGATCTAGCTTACCAAATTTTATAGCACTTTAAAATTTGTCAAAGTGGATTGCTTCAGTTTTCAAAATGTATATACAATTTCTGATAATTAAAGGAAAATGGATACTAACATTGATATTTGCAAATCTCTGTCAACACCACATTATCATGGGTGTTAGATTCCACCTGAGGACATCTGACTTATGAAGGAGGCACAACAGAAGTTTTAAAATGGTATGGCACCCTTCTAAGGAGAGGTTTTCTTATAGGAGATGGAGTTGATAAGCCTTTTGTGCCTGCACTTTGTATTTTAGGCCTCTAATGAGCTACCAAACTTGTGAAATACATTCATATAACATGATATAGTTGAGCATTGATGACACCAGGATAGTCCTGTAGATCCTGCACAAAGAAGGTTGTGGGCTCTTTGCAAAAAAGCAATAATTGTCTTTGCATTTTGTTAAATATTTGACCCAGAATAATAACATTTACACGATCTAAGCAAAACTGCTTTAGCAAAATGATCAAGGCCATCTTTGTTCTCCACATTTGGCATTAAATCACATTGCTTAGCACACCCTCCCGACAGCTCCCTGTTAGTTACCTGCATTCATACTGGAGTTGCTTGAAACTGAAAGCTGAGGTGTGTATCTTAGAGTCGTAGGTAGCCTATCATGTTTCAGTGGGAGAGATGGGAGAATCGAATCTCAGAGTGCCCACCTGGGATGTTAGGGCATGGCACATGGTACAACTGGTTCCACCAGCTTCTGAGCCATTCAAGCCCACTTTTTTGTGTCTTAGAGTATCTGCTCTCACTTTCCAGGTATAGTGACTCCCATAGAGTTCAAGTTCACTTCTTCAGTGGGGACTGCTAGCTTTCCTTCAGATTGGTGTCTCAAGGAGTTAGGAGATGTCAATATTTTTTTCTTTTTTTGGTCCTGATACTTAGGAAAAAAAATAGTTT